ACTTCACCCCTTTTCACTTGCGGATGATGTTCTCTTTTTTTTTCTTCCCTCCAATTCCTGATTGATTGGGTCCTCGCGGGGGGATGGGGTCGATCACGTGGGATCGGTGTGCGTAGGAAACGAAATTCTCTGCCTTCTCCCACAGTTTTGTTTGGTTTATTGCTTTCAAATTTCATATTCCTCTCTTTTAGCAATAGTAGCTGTTTCATACAAGGTTCAGTTTTTATTAGCACTGAGCGCTTTGGTTTTATCCCTCATTCCGTTTGATTCCCTTTAGTTTTCGTTATTTATTTTATTTTATTTGGTTTTGTTTTGGGTGACGGACACCCTTTTTCTAACGCGATAGTTTGTGTGGTGGGTCGTTTTTTTCTTTTAACCCCCCCCTCCCCGCCAGCTGCCCTCTTTTGCGAATCCCCCCCCCCCCTGATTCATGCTCCGTCGGTTATTCGGTGGATCGCTCGCGACGACAGTGACGGCCGGCTCCTTCAGCACCACCGCGCGCCTGATGGACCGCCCGCGCATCCCGGTGGCGAACGCCGTGGTGGAGATGGACGGGGACGAGATGGCGCGGATTATGTGGGGCCTCATCAAGCAGAAGCTCATCCTGCCTTATGTGGACCTCCCGATCCACTATTTCGACCTCGGCATCCAAAACCGCGACGCCACGAACGACGAGGTCACCGTGGCCGCCGCTAAGGCCATCCAAGACTGCCAGGTGGGCGTCAAGTGCGCGACCATCACCCCGGACGAGGCGCGCGTCGCGGAGTTCGGCCTCAAGAAGATGTGGAAGAGCCCGAACGGGACGATTCGCAACGTCCTGAACGGGACCGTCTTTCGCGAGCCGATCGTGATCTCAAACATCCCTCGGTTGGTCCCGCACTGGGGGCGGCCGATCGTCGTGGCGCGCCACGCCTACGGCGATCAATACGCGGCCCAGGACGCGAAGTTCGGCCCTGGGAAGCTCCAGCTCGTGCATTTGCCCGCCGACGGCGGCGAGCCGACCGTTTTGGATGTCTTTAACTTCCAGGGCGACGGCGTCGGCCTCGCGATGTACAACACCCAGGCGAGCATCGAGGGCTTCGCCAAGAGCTGCTTCGAGTACGCGATTCTGCGCCAGCTGTCGGTGATCCTGACGACCAAAAACACCATTCTCAAACGCTACGACGGGATGTTTCTCGAGACCTTCCAGGGGGTTTTCGACCAGACCTACAAGGCCGCGTTCGCGAAGCTCGGGATCGGCTATGAGCACCGGCTCATCGACGACCAAGTCGCGCAGGTGTTGAAAGGCAGCGGGAATATCCTCTGGGCGTGCAAGAACTACGACGGGGACGTCGAGAGCGACATCGTGGCGCAGGGGTTCGGCTCGTTGGGGCTGATGACCTCCGTTTTGATGACGCCGGACGGGAAGATTCTCGAGGCGGAGGCCGCGCACGGCACCGTGACCCGGCATTACCGCAATCATCAAAAGGGCGAGCCGACGAGTACGAACTCCGTGGCCTCGATCTTCGCGTGGACGCGGGCCCTCGCCCACCGCGGGCGCCTCGACGGCAGCGACGCCCTCGTGAACTTCGCCCAGACCCTCGAGAAGGTGGTGATTCGCGTCATCGAGGAGGGCCACATGACGAAGGACTTGGCGTTGTGCGTGCACGGCAGCAAGAACCTCAAGGCGAAACACTATGAATCCACCGAGGGTTTCATCGAGAGTGTGGCCAAGGCCCTCGACAAGGCCATGGCGTCTTAAATCGTATTTAGTGTGATTCAAATCCCGCTCTCTCCCCCCCTCCCCCCTTGAAAAAGAAAAAGAAAATTTTAAAAAATAAACAAGACATTAGAAGTAAAAAAAAAATGGGGAGAAGTTGTTTGATTCAGGATATTTTATTATAATAAGTATTATTTTTACTGATAAAATTTTTTAAGTGTAAAACCTAGTATACACTGCTCTATCTAATGTGATCGATACACGACTACCTTCAATACTGAAAGAATAGATGTTGAAACGCACTATTTCTTGTGCTCAGGAATATTTTGATAATCCAAGGAAAACAACAACAACCCAACCCCCGTTATCCCAAGCTTCTGTAGCGATATTGGAAGGCTAACGCCGACGGCGATTGATGAACCCCATCCCTATCTTCCCTTTTTCTTTTTCTTTTTTCTTTTCTTTCCCGCGTAGATCCCGCATCCGACGTCCCTTTTTAAAGCGACCGAAGGGGTTAGCGATCGTCCTATCATTCCCCCGAACAACACCGGCGAAAAAGGACTGAGGCCCTTGTGGCGTGTCCTTCCGCGATTTGTGAGGGGCCACCTTGGGAGGCGACGCCTGACGCCGAGTCTTAGCCGAGACCGTTCCCCCTCCCCTTCTTTACTATTATTATTGATTGATTGATTATTGTGGGTGTTATTGTTATTCGTTGTACGAACACGAATCGGGTTGGTATTCCTTTGGGTTTGTTTTGTTTGTTTTCCTGGCGGCGATGGATGGCGACGTCCTGAAGTTATTACAGCAGCTGACGTCCAACCCGGAGGTGGTGCGGCAGCTGCGGGATTTTCTCTCCCTGGTGCGCCCCCCCTTGGAGGAGGGGGCGGGGAGGCCCCCTCCTGTGGCCCTTGTGGACCCCAACACCCGAGGCCATCCCGGGGGAAGCGAGGGCGAACGGGGGAAAACGGGGGGAAAAGACCCTTTCCCGCGGCGCCGGCCGGACGAGCTCG